CTGGAGAAGAGGAGGCTGAGGGGAGCCCTCATCGCTCTCTGCAACTGCCTGAAAGGAGGCTGGAGCCGGGGGGGTCGGTCTCTTCTCCCCAGGAACAAGCGATGGGACGAGGGGGAACGGCCTCAAGCTGCGCCAGGGCAGGTTTGGGTTGGGTATTAGGGGAAATGTCTCCACCAAAAGGGCTGTCAGGCCCTGGCCCAGGCTGCCCGGGGCAGGGGCTGAGTCCCCATCCCTGGGGGTATTTAAAAGCTGGGGAGATGTGGTGCTTAGGGACATGGTTTAACGTGCTGAGTTAACAGTTGGACTCAATAATCTTAAGGGTCTTTTCCAACCCAAATGATTCCATGATTCTAAGTAACTGAGAGCGCTTCCTCCCCTAGATGTGGCCAGAGGTGATCTGGGTGGCTGCCATCACCTCTCCCGCAGGTACTCCTCCTTCCTTCCTTCTGAATTCCTCTTCTTTTGTTTGCTTTGATAAGAACACTTTTGCTGACGAGATAATCAACGTTGTAACATTTCTAAAATTTTACAGCCGGGCAAATTATGAAATCAGTCTTACTTCACCAGTTGCTAGTACATTCAGCTGATCCAGATCACCTTCCAAGAAGATTTGCTAACTCTGCCGAAGTTCATAAGTTGGAATCACCAACGGAAAGGGAACATTTTACAGCCTCATTGATTTTTTTTTCCACTCCTCTTTTTTCTTGGCGTGTTTTCTCTTCAACAAAACAAGAAACCCCTTATCAACAGCAACACAAGTCCAGCACAAGTCAGCTAAGTCCCTCCTTTCTCTAAACGTAGTCCCAGCTATTTTCAGCTCCATCTATGAGATAATCAAAGAGCACAGGTTTCCACCCAGAAACTCTGTCCAGCTAAAGAGAAAGCATTAAAGGCTGTGGCTCAAACAAACACTTTGTATTCCAAACACTCCCATTGTTCCTTATCTTTTTGTTCCTGCAGCTCTAGTCAAATGTTAACAAGACTCCCAATGGGTCCCACAGTACAGCAGAGGAGGCAAAACGCCCCTGCACAACGCCAGAGCCTGCCCAGCTCCATCGGCGCCAGCCCCTGCAGAAGACCAAGAGCGAAGCCTCAGCGTGGATCCCCGTCACTTGACCGCACGGTTACCCTGCGGCGGTGGCAATCACCAGCCTGCGCTCCCCCACTGCTGCACCGGGCAGAGAGCACAGCCCCGCCGCAGCAATGCAGCCGGCAGTGGGGCGAGCACCGGGAGCCGAAAGCCAGCTTAGCCACAGAGGACTCAGAGCAGAGCCCAGTAACTCGGATCTCTTGGAGGACACGATGTGAGCGGCTTAAGAAGACCCCACGCTGACAACTTCCCCACCCAGGATTTCAATCTCTCCCCAAAAAGTGATCCCTAACGTAGCAACAGCCTCTCCTGAAAGGCTCCAGGGCTCAAGGCTGGGCTGGCTCCTGCCTCTGGGGAGCGCAGGGCTCTGGGGCAGCCAGGCGCTGGGCAGAACGACGGCACTGGCCCGGAGCAGCACAGAGCCTACAACCCACCTTGTCCATGTGGAAGATGAGGTCCAGCTCACAGACGTTCTCAAAGCACTTGTCCAGCGTCTCCACAAACACCTGAGGTGGCAGGAAGGGAAGGTCAGTACAGGAGACCACCGCAGGACGCTTCCCGCACACAGCCCCAGGGCCTGCAGGCAAAAAAGCCGCAACCCCGACCAGAAACTCCTTGCGCCCCAGGGTGTCACCCTGAGCAGGGACAAAACCCTCTCAACAACCCCATTGCCCTTTGATGGTAGGAAAGTGCCTGTTCCCAGAGCAACCACGGGTGGGTCCGGCCCGGGGGCTGACCGGGACACCCCCCCCCCCCCCCCCCCCCCCCCGGCGCGGCCGGGGGGCGGGGGGGGGGGGGGGGCG